TCGCCTCACACGTGGTCCACCCCGTGTGTACCCGCCTTAAATCTCGCTAATCTTGAGCCGCGATGTGGGTCACGCCTTAAAGCGAGCCCCTCGTCGAGCCGGCGAGTCCTGACGGTCGCGAGTCTTTGGGAGTATTTTTCTGCGTGGGGGGCGGGTGAAAGAAATCCGGAAAAATCCCGGCGCATCCCTGCGAATCGGGTTTGGTCCAGGCTCGACGGGGCGTGGAAGGGTTTCCTTGAGCGGAGCCTCGTATCCGAAATTGAGCGTTTGGACCGTGATTCGTCCTGCTTGAACTATTGCTTCGTGGGTCGGAATCGTCTCTTTCAACGTCTCGCGATTCTCGCCCGGCGCCCCTCTCTCTATCTCGGATCGCGGAGGAGGCGCGAAATTCACCGTCTCCGGCAGAAACGGTACAAAACTCGTTCGCAACTTTTCCCCGTCCTCTTCTAGCGCCCCCGTTCTCTCTTTCTCTCTTTCCCTCGGTTGGAGCGTTAAGTAATTAAGCATGTAAGTGCGATGCTACTCTCTCGTCGCCTTCCTCCTGCATATAGCTCTAGGTATAGTATCGCGTTTACGCGCGAATAATAATAATGGTCGCAATGTACAAACATATATTATATATATCGTATTATATTACGCACGTGTATATATATATATATATTCATTTATATATTTACTATACGTTTCTTTCGCGTCGAAAACGCGTTCTCACTCGTATCCAATCACTATCCATCCGGTTGAAATCGGCTCGACAGAGAACGAAAAAACCGGCGAAAGTCCTCCTATTCGAGTCTCGCCACGCGGAAGTAGCGACGGTGGGCTCGATTATTTTCCCCGCGATCTTCGCGAATCAATTACCGACGAGGAAATCCGAAATTAAGCTAAACAGGGTGAGAAACGAACAACAATTTAATACAAAAAGAAAAAAAAAACGTACCAAACGAATGGACACAAAGGAGCGGAGCCACGAGCCGGGTCGGAAGGGAAAAATATTCCTAGGAACGTCGAAATCGGAAACGGCAAAGAGAACGAAACTAAAAAAAAAAAGAGGAGAAACTAGCATCGACCGACGAGAGAATAAAAGAAATGAAAATCAAACGATATATCCGATGAAAACAAAACGACAAAAAAAGTGGCGCGCCCGGCTCCGCGGACACGATATATCATCTCTATATATTTAAGCGACAAAAACTTCTTCCGACCACGTTAAATATACGAATCATATAATAATATATACCTATTCAATAGAATATAATAATATAGTAAAATACAGTTAAATTAAGCAACAACGATCGACCTCTGTAGCTCTATACGCGCGTCTCGATAAATCCTACAATAATCTAAACCACATTCTTACTCTTTCTTATCTCCCTCTCTCTCTCTCTCTCTCTCTTTCTCTCCTCTCCGCCTATCTCACTCTCGCGCGCCTAACTTCTAGATTCCCTTATATTTAATTATTATTCTTTGAGATATGTATCGTCGTTCATGTTCAACCCCTTCTCGTTGCGTCGCTCCCGTTTCGCAAGAGGGGGGAAGGGGGTGTGGGGGGATGGAAAGGCTCGGTGACAAGTGCTCCAGTTCTTCGGACCGTTCTCCGTCGTACCTCGATCTAGATTCACCCCCGCCATTAGAGTCCCTAGCACTGACGTGCGTGTCCATATCTCCCTCTCGCGTTTCAGCACTCCGCGTTTCGTACGTGAAAGAAAAGGGGGGCGAGAAAAAAAATGGGAGGGAAAGGGGGGAAACGGCCCCATCCACCAAACGCGCTGCATCCGTCCTCCTCGCTCGCGTCAAGTCCTTCCCCGACGTCGCCTTCGTTTTTTTAAACGCTTTTTGTTTGTTACAAAAATGGCAGTTATCGGTCACAGCCAATGGCTATATAATCATTACGATTAGCGTCTTAATACGTTACGTTAACCTTAGTCTCGTTTACGTTAATAAATACTTCTTAAAGGGGCGTTAAGTTACTGTGTAGGTGGTGTGCACGTGTCTCTCTCTCTCATTCTCTCTCCCGCTTCCTTCCGTGGGCGCGTGTCCTTTGTTGGGTGTCCCGTGTGTGCGTACGTCACCATGTACATATCGCGATATATTTATGATGTAATGCACGTGTATACGCCGTATGGCCGCGCCGATCCCGAGCGGGCCCGAAGAGCGACCCGAAGCGCGTGCCGGTCACGCAACTACTGACAGCTGCCAAGCGCAGCGTTGGGCCCGCATTTGACAGCCAATGAGCGGTAGGCGTCCCCAAGTCACGTGGTCGCGCGGTCACGTGGTCGCGCGAGGATGCGATGCGGGCGTGATGGCCAAGGCGGTGTGTAACTAGGGGCGCCGCGTTCCGAGCCCAAAGATGACGGATTTCCCCCGTAATGGGACGAGTTACGGGAAAACGCCTCGGAGGAAAGTTTCTCCTCGGGTCGCGAGGTGGAACTTTTGCGGGAGGTGTTTTTCCGTATAGCGCACAGGTACGGCGGAAATCGCGGGGGAACCGCGGGTCCCCTCGGGACGCGGCGGTGACGCGCAAAGATGGCGGAGGAGGAGATATATCGTGATCGGCTGAAATGGCTTGTGCGAGAGGTGGCCAATGGGCGACGCGCGTGCTAGTGACGGTGATCGGCGAGGATGACGACCACGATCGATGAGCTGCGGCAACCTCGTTTAATGTTGCGTCGGAACCTCGGCCAAAGTGAAGGCTGCCTAAAAGTCGCGTGTTCGTCACCTAAAGCAGGGCGTTCCCCATGTCTAGCGGAGGTTCCCGACGACGATCGCTTTACGACGAGGTTTCCCTTCGCTCCTTCGGTCGTCGCCGCGAGTTCTTCAGCGAACGAACGAACGAACGGAGACGCTCGGGTTTGGTCTCCCTTGACTCTCGTCGGAGCAGTCCGAGCTTCGGCAACCGCCCTACGCCTCATCGTCTTTTTAAATTCCCCTTTATACACGTAAAAACTCTGTGTCTCTCTCTCTCTCTTGCCCACGTGCACAGCGGGCGCACGTGCTCAGAAATCGCCCGTAGAATAGAATATCGCATATATATGTATACTAGCAAATATTTTCTTCTCCGCCACATCACCCCCCACGTTGCTAATATATACNCAGGCCTCGATTTGCACAGAGACGTAGCTGAAGTCTTAACTCGTGAGAGCTGTGTTGCACGTATGTTATGTATATATATATGTGTGTATATATATGTACGTCAGCACTGCCTTTTCTCTTTTTATACCTTAACATAGAAAAAATATAGAATTCACTTTGCTTCAAACTTAAATAATAAACATCTTTCTCGTCTTTCATCTTTTTCATTTTCTCTTTAACCTCCCTCCGTCTCGCTCCCATTCTCGACCTCCCTCAATCTCTCTCGAGCATTGTCGATCGGTTGTTTCTCTCCCTCTCTCTCTCTCTCTGTCTCTCTCTATTTTTTTTTGTTGCCCGAATAGGTTATGCCGCGAGCCCGGGGTCGTTCGGTGTCCCCTGTGCCGGGCCTCCCTTGACAGAACGGATGGCACTTGGGAGGGCTCGATAAGGTTTGGAAATGTTTGGGACGGGGAGGCTGGCGGGGGTGCTCGGCAACATAACCTGAAAAAATCTCCGGCGGACCGTTCGGTCGTGCGGAGCTGCGCGACTTGAGCGTGTCTTCGGGCGTCGAGATACACGGGAGCCGCCATTTTGGATCCAAGATGGCGGCTCCCGCGGTTCCCGCGAAGACTTGTGTGTGTTGGGGGGGTGTATTAAAATGAACGGGGATCGATTATACGACAGGACTTGTGTTTCAGCTCCGCGACCAGGATTCAAAAGAGTAAGGACCCTCTTTCCCCCCTTTTCCTCCTAGAAAGTGATAAGGAATACGTGCGCCTGGGTGTATACGTGTGTCTAATGGCGCATCGCGAGTGTGTCGTTAAAGTGTCGCGTGCCGTGGGCGGAGGGAAAGTCGAGCGACGGAGAGACATTCGACAGCATAGAGACAGGACGATCCGCTCGAAACTCAGGACGACCTCGATATATTATATATATATAGATAGATTTATATCGTTAATTAAGTAATATACACGAAAGAACGGGGAAAAGAACAAAAAGAAAAGGTGTGTATGTGTGGGTGTCTTTGCTTGAGAAGCCGTACGCGCACTTTAAGTCCCAAGTGTCGCCTCGGCGGAGGGGGAGGGCCGGACGGGGGGACCGGTCCCGCGCGCTCCGTCTCTCTCGCCCTCCGCCCCGTTCCTATCTTCCCTCTCTATAACGCACCTCCCTGTGGCGTGCCTCCCTTTTCCTCCCGCGGGCGTTACCCTTCCTCCATCTCGCTCCTGCCTCCCCCCCGCGCCAAGATCCGCGCGAGGGGGCAGCCAAAGTCGTGCGTACGCGTTTTCCCTCCCACTCCGTCTCTCCCACCGTGGTCACGTTAAATAAAAGCTACATGCATCGATACTCTTTCCTACGGACGCGTAATCGTTAAGTTAAGAATTAGTTATTACTCGATTATTCCTAGTCCCAAGAGAGAGGAAAAAAAAATTGGAAAAAAAAACGAATAGTAAAGGAAAACGCGTTTCCGCGTCCCTCCTCGCGAACGGGCGAGAGTCTCCCGCGAGCCGCACCCCCGGGTCGCGCGAGTCCTCCCCTTCCTCCCCCCGGCCCCGCCGCCGCCCCGGACCGCGTGGCGTCCGCGTCGAAAATACAAAATCTAAATATTTCCTCGATAAAATATTATATTTATGTTTATATATTATTCGATCACTATATCGTTATAAAGGTAAATGTATTAATACTCTAAGCGGAGGGCGGGAGGCGGGGGGGCGGCACGAGGGTGGCGGGCCCGACGGAGACCCGTCCGTCGAGCGTCTCCGCGCGCGCCGTCCTCGCCGGGGAAGGTCGGGGTCCGGCGCGGAGGCGCGGCGGAAGCGGGACGATCCTTGCGTCTCCTCCGCGCGGCGGCGACCGGTGGCGCGCGCCCTTTGGAGTCGTTAGCTTAGCTTATGAGATATCTAATAATCGATTCGTTGTATCCGGTTGGCGGGAACGGGTGAGCGGAGGTCGTGGCTTCGGTCCTGGCTTCGGTCCCGGCGGAGGTCCGGGCGGCCGACGGGGGCCCGGGTGCGTCCTGACGGCCCTGGGGCGCCGGCCTTACGAGAGGATACGCAAGGCCTGGAGGACGGGCCTCGAGCAGACGGGACAGCTGGGGTCGGAACTCTCGCAGACGCGGTTGCCGCAGTCCAGGCAGAAGAGGTTGTGGCCGCAGGGCACGAGGGCGGCGGTGACCTCCTTGTCGCCGCAGACGACGCACTCGCGGCGGCCCTGGGGGCCGCCGGCGCCGAGCAGCGAATCCGTCGGCGAGGCGGGCGACGCCGAGGCGGGCGGCGAGGGCCGCGAGGGCAGGGCGACGGCGGGGAAGGACCAGATGCTGGAGGCCGAGGCGGCTTGGGACTCGAAGCTGGGGCTCTCGCCGAGGCCCTCGTCGCGCTCCAGGCCCGCGCCCCAGATGGCCACGAGGTCGTTGAACCCGGGCGCGCCGGAGCTGCTGGAGGAGCTGCTGCAGCTGCCGCTGCTGGAGAAGGCGCCGCTGCTGCTGCCGCCGTTGGAGCCGCCGCTCGAGGAGCCGGGGGGCTCGAGGCAGCCGAGGATGGAGCCGAGGCCGCCGCGGCAGAGCGCGCCCAGGAGGTCCGTCTCCTCGGCCAGGCCCGGGTCCGTGCCGGTGCGCATGGCGATGTGCGCCTCGATCTCCCGACGGGCCGCTTCCACGCTCTCCGGCAGCCCGGTCACCTCGAAGACCGGCTCCTTGTCGCGGCTCGGCGTAACGATGTAGGTGTGCGTCTGGTGCTGGATCCGCTTTATGGTGGCGCCCTTCGGGCCCACCACCAGCCCCACCACCCTGTAGGGCACTCTCACCTGGATGGTCACGTGGCCCGGCACCGAGGCGGGCGGCCCAGGCGGCGCGCCCAGGAGCGCGCCCAGCGAGGACTTGCGCGACGCCCGGATCTGCGAGAAGTGCTCGGCCGCCGAGAGGATCTCCCGCTTCGCCCGGGCCACGTCCTCCTTGCGCCCGGTCACCACGAACACCGGCTCCTCGCCCCGCACCGGCGTCTTTATGTAGGTGTTGGTCTTGGCGCGCAGGGCCTTGATCTTGCAACCTGCAACAGAAAGCGCAACGAGAGGTCAGACTGGGCGACCCGAGATGCGACCTCTCCCTCCCCCCCGCGACCGACTGCCCGATGGGGTCTCTCGCGGACTCCCTGGCCTTGAGTCGGCGCGATGCAGGTGAACCGCTCCTCCCCGCTCTCCTTCGCTCTCCTTCGCTCTCCTTCGCTCTCCTTCGCTCTCCCCCGAGAGGGGCCCGCCGCCGAGGGGCGAGGGGACGCGCCGCCGCATACCGCTCTCCTACGCGCGGCGCGTCGCCCTCTTCCTCGGGGGACGTCCACAGGAACCGAGAGCGTCCGATCCGCCGCGTTTTCGCCGTGTCACCGCCGTGGACCGGACGCCCGGCCCTGACCTATGGAGCGGCCCGGTGGCGGGCCACTGCACTCGAGCCACCGGGAAAGGAGAGCCGCCTTCTTTGTTTCGATCGACCGGATCGCGAACCGCCGGGGAAAAAAGGCGAGGACGCGCCGCCGCGCGTTCGGAACCTACTAAATCGTTCGACGCGAAGTCCCCGGTTATCCTATAAAACCATCCCCACGAATCAACGGTGAAACCGGGAATTTCCCGTGGACCCGACCACGTACTACTCAAAGCTCGCATCAACCCCCCGAAATTCATATCAAACCACCTACCCTCACTTCGGGCAACCTAAATACGCATTAAACAACCCAATACGGTACGGGGCTCGCATCGAGCGACCCGATAGAGTAGCGAGGTTCGTTCGTACCCTACAAACTCGTGACACTCGACGCCTGCGAATCTAAAGCGAGCGGACGGCGCGGCCATTAGCGTTATTGCGTCAACGTAGCCGATATGTAATCTCCCCCCGGTCCCCCCTTGCGGCGGGAGGGGTGCGGGTTTCAGGGACCCGCTATTTCGGGACGGCAGACGCGACCGATCGGTCGATACCGCCCGGGCTTCTGGACCGGCTCGATCAATCGCGGTTATCGCGTCGTCGATAGCCCTCTATCAATTATCGGCGTGCTTTGACGCGCCGACGCGGGATTTTCGAAAGATCGACGGGGTCCCTCTCTCCTTAGCGGAAAGCCGCCCTATCGGTCGGCGTTATCGGCCGGTCGGTAAGGTAGCGAGCGCGACGCCCGGCAGGTGGACGCAGATTGCACGTATTGCAACTCGACGGGGCGAGGGGCGAAGAAGGACGTCGGGGGGGCAGGGGGGCGCCGAGGGGGCGTGGGTCGTAGACAGTTGAAGGGCCGCGGCCAAGGTGAAGCGAGACCGAAGAGAGCGAGAGGGGCGAGGGAGAGCCGGCCCGCGCAGGAACGCGCGGAGAGAGCGCTTTTGCCGTTGCTCTTTGTCCGGGCCCCGAGAACCCCGGGACCGGCGAAGGACCGAGGGCGCGCACGCGCGGGCGTGCCCGGCTCATCTTCTGTTACGCATTGCGAAACCGTAGACGCGCCGGATAGAATTCTGCCGAGCGGACAAAGGAGATTAAACCACGGCTCGATTGACGCCCAAGTGGGTCCGCGGGCTGCGAAGAAAGGACCGGAGAAGGGGAGCCTTTGCCTCGCGCCGGGGCGACGCGAACCCATAGGTGATCCGGGGGAGAAACCACCCCAAGCGACTAGCGAAATTGATCTTCCTCGGGGAAAACGCGGGATTTTCGACTCGGAGTGGCGATAAATGGAAACGGACTTGGTCTTGCAGGCGGATAAAAAAAAAAGAATGATCAGGAAAACCACAATAGTGGTAATTGCAGAAAATGCAACGAGGGCGAAACTGTACTTTTGTACGTGCCAAGGGAGAGATATGCCTTTTTTGAAATTTTTCTCAAGTTCGAGGGAGATGGTTAACCCTTTTAGTACAATAGGTGCAATTCTTGAGATACTGAAGGGGTTAAGCCTGGTATCAGAGAAGGGCACGGAGAAGCCTGGTTTCACTTTCGGAGGCCGGCGATTCCCACAGGACCTCGAGAGGGCTTCTCGGTGTCGCCCCTTCGGGGTGACGGGTCCCGGGGGAAGGGTGCGAGTCCTTCGAGAACAACGGCCTCGATTCCCACGGGCGGCCGCGTGACGGCGCGGAAACGCGTCCGCGGATCGGCGAGGGGGCCGGAAAAGCGCGGCCGGGCGGGGCCCCCGACTAGCGGTACCCAGGGGGCCCGGGACCCCCCGGACCCCCGTAGGTCCCCGTAGGTCCCCATAGGTGGTCCGGGCGCCGATGCGTCCGCGGCCGACTCGCGCGAGCGCGAGTACGAGTTTCTCAGGCAGGTCAGTGAAACCGCGCCGTCAAGTTGAAGGCCAACACCCCCACGATGCATCGCGGGCCCCCCCGCCGCGGCGCGCCGAGCCCCCACCAGCGCCCCCCTCGCGACGCGGCCGCGAGGAGGAACACCCGAGGAAAGTCCGACACGGCCGATCGGATCCTCCGATGCCCAGACGCGTTTTTATATATATATTTTCTTTTTCTACCGACTTTATCGGACGCAAATAAACATGGTAACGCGATGGCGAGAGATGCGCGATACGAGTGCCCCGCGGTAATCGATGGAAAATCAAGGAGATATGCATATACATACATAGATTAATTTACGGGGCGGTTTTTTTTACGCGAGTCTCATTTTCACGCGGTAAATTGTGACACAATTTACGCGACACCACTTTCATTCGCGTAAAGTACATGTACATGTATACACATGCATGTGTGTATGTATGAAATAAAGGCAGGGGCACGTCGCTGCCCCCATGAATGTTAGGTTAGGTTAGTGTAGAAAGAGTCGGGCCGAAACGACGGAGAAAGGTTTCATCGGGCTTAAAAGAGAAACTCCATTCGGAGGAAGCAGGGTAGGCGTGTTACTTCATGGTTGGAAGGTATATTCCTCGTTTCGTAAACGACACAGGTATGGCGCGATGGAATATCGAGGTAAAAACCGACGTGGAACTCGAGCGCTTCCGAGGCCACGTGGGCCGGTCGGCGCAGGCGCGCTCCTCCTTCCGTTGGCCTCCGCACGGCCGTATCGGGCCCTCGGTATCTCCGTCTCTCTCGCACGAGCGCGACCGCGGGGTCTAGGGTCTCCGTTTCGTCGTCTGCTGGAAGGACTATTTCGGAGTATGTAGAGTCGCGCCGTTGGGCCAATGGACGCGGTTCGCTTGCCGCCGGATTCCAGGAACGGGGCCGGCCCATTGGTTTGCACCGAGCGCGACAGAAGGAGAGAGAAAGAGAAAGAGAAAGAGAGGGACGGACCGATCTCGCGGGAAGATCGAAGAGAGAGAAAGAGAAAGTGGAGGCGCGGACCGTGAACGAGGGAGACGGGCGAACGGCGAGCCGCGTGCACCGGACGGAGAGGGCGAGAGAGGTACCGGAGGAAGAGGCGCGACGGAGACGGAGGGATCCGGACTCGCGCGCGTGGGAGAGAGACGACGACGCGTCGAGGCTCTCCGACCCGCATCGACGGCAGACCGCGAGCGAGAGAGACGGGGAGATGCGCGGATGCGGGCGCGCGAGCGAGACCGAGCGAGCGCGAGGCAGCGTGGGCGAACGACGTCGTTCGCTGCGACGTTCCTCGCGGTCACTCCGCTACCGACCGCCGAGGCGGGCGGAGGGTCGGGCGGCGGCGGGGCGTGCGTGCGTGCGTGCGCGCGCACTCTCGGCCGCCGCCGAGGAGGGAATTCGCGGGCCAGAAATTCCGCGGCCGCAAATAGATGGATCGCACTCGCGAGAGCTATCTCCTCGGCGAGAAAGATAGACGGATAGATAGGCCTACGTGCGCACACGGGGACGCGACGCGCCCGCGTATACGGGGTGTCCGCCTACCGAATTCGCCGTTGCCTCCCTCGCGTGACCAGTTAGCATCAATCCTCGAGTACCTTCGCGCAAACGTACGTACGTACAAGTAACCGCGCGTTACCGTGACGCCTCGCAACCGGCGCCGCTTGATCGATCGGGGGCGATCGCGGGTCGATACGAGCGTCGGTGGCGGGCTTCCGGAGCCAGACAGGGGACGCGCTCCGATTGGTCGGTCACGACCGTGCGTTTGAAAGCACCCTAACCTAAACCACCGTAAACTAATCTGGTCTGAGCTAAACTCACCCAAACTACCCCGATCTAATTTATACCAGCCTAATCTGATCCAAATTAACCGAACTCCCGGTCGATCCGGGTAGGCCGAGATCGGCGTACACCCTATAGATGCGTCCCTCGCGCATACCGGGATGCGCGCGCGACGCGCTCTCTGAAATAACCGGGAGGGATAGGTGCAATGCACGTTCGGTGCCTGTACCCGCGACGAGCGGTCGTCTCGCTGCTCCCACCTCCGTCGCCCCCGGGTCCGCGCATCCGTCCCGCCGCGTCCCTCGCGCGGCAGTGGGGGTCACACTATATTAAGATTGAACTCCATGACACTGCCGTGTGCTAGCTGCCGGCTACTCGCGGCTGCTCTCCTGTCGCGAGGCCTCGCCTCGAACTTTCCGGACTCCCCGGGCGGATCGCGCGCGCGTCAATGCGAGTACATGCATTATGCACCGGGACCGCCCGCTCCGATCCGGCGGATACCGCGGCCCTATCGATCCCGCCAACCGTACCTGCACTTCCGCCCGATAACGCGGCCGTGTTCTCCGGGGAGACGCGCGACCCCTAACCTCCAAAGTTAACCCTTTCGATGTAGCGGGTGGGCCCGACCATCCTAGAAAATTCTGCATTAACGACGATACATTGACACTCCACCTTAATGATCATCCGTTAAAATTCCGCACTGATCGCCAACTATCCTCCCGAACTCATTGGAATAATTTTTAAGTCTTTTAATACCGACCCTTCTGAACTTTGCTCGCAACTGGACCGTACCGTGGCGTTATATCCGCGATTCGAGTACCCTCAAGGCTCACTAACGAAAGACTCAAGCGTATCGAAAGGGTTAATAAACGTTTGCATCTCAATTTCGACGGCTCTCGGGTAATCCGAGCTGGCCTCTCGACATAGGCGAGGCACCCACCCCCTCGGTCCGGGGTCACGGGAAGATGTAGAGCGAGGATGTCGCGCA